CCCGCGGCCGGCGCGTACGGCGACGTGAGCGCCGCCGCGGTGCGCGGGTTGCGGCGGCGAAACGGCTCAACCTGCGGGTCCAGGAGGTGCGCTCGCAGGCGCGAGAGGAAGCGGAAGAGGAACCTGTACAGGAGCAGAATCGACGAGAGAGACACCGAGAGCCTCAGGGCCCGAGACTTGTGCAGCGGCTGCTTTGGCCCATTGTCACTGGCACTGGCACCCAACCGTCAGCATGCCCCGACACTACATCTCGGCAGTGCCAAAACTTTTCAAAAAAGGAAAAGGAACATACCTCGGGTCCACGCGGCGGGAAATGGCCTCCCAGCCCTTCATCCCAACCATGGTCGCGACAAACACCCTCAGCGCGTGCCGCACAGCCGCGGCGTTGTAGTCGTCGCCGCCGCCCTTCCTCTGCGGCTGCAGCGCCTTGTCCACCGCCGCGGGCGTGGGTGCTGCCCGGCGCAGCGTCCTGGACCGCGAAATGATGTACCTGTGAAGCGTGGCGTACTCGCGCGCGGAAATGGTGTACCGGAGCGTGTTGCGGAGGACGGCGTCGACGGGAGCGGGCGGCGCGCCCTTGGGGGCCGCAGAGCCGGGGGATGCCATGGAGGACTCTCGGACACGGTCTCGCAGTGTCGGAGGGGTTTCGAGGACCGGCGAGACGAGCTTCAGTCGCGAGGCCGTTGCGTCGTCGGGGCGTCTGTGTGTCGCGCAATCACAAGCCAAGCCAGTCAGTCGGCTGTCATGGCCGCACGCCAGACGGGCTCAGTGTGTCGAGGTACGACGAGGGCGGACAAGAGAAGAAGAAAAAAATGGAAGAGTTGAAAAAAGGGAGCGTGCTGTCCTCGTTGCAAAGCTATCGCGGCCACCGGGGGAAACGACGGGGTTGACAAAAGAGACCGCGTCGAGGTCGAGGTGAGAATTGTCAAGTGGATGTTCATGCCATCATCACAAGACGACCTCGGCTTCCATGTAAGCACTTGCTTGGCCTGGAGATGTGGGGCTTCATTTCGGTTCCCACTCCACCCACAGTTTGTGCTTCCCACAGCTCCATGACGACTTGTGCTCCTGGCTCACGCTCACTCACCGCGCCCAACGCCATCCGATTTACCCCGTACAGCTCGGGCATTAACCCGGATTTGCATCCAATGTTCAATAATCCCGTCTCCCCAAGGACGGCTGGGCAACTGCATCGCAACTGCAGGGATTCCCCGCCATCGTAGCCGTCCTCACACTTCATACAATACTTGATATTTACTCGCTACACCATTAGCCGGGCTTTTCAACATGGATCAGACTAGTAGACTAGTAGGCTCGAGTGCATTGAGATAATTTCCCGTCCTTTATGCTCGCCGTACAAGATACCAGACACCCCCCACGCGATGCTCCTCGCCAACCTACCTACTACTAGGTAGGCTCGGTCGTTCCCATTGCCATCGTATCCCTTTCACTTGTTTTGCTTGCACCCTGCTCACCATGTGTAAATTGCCCTTTATTCATTCCATGCCATTTCTCGTAATCCCCAAAAAGCAGAAGCTCATCTAGCATCCAGTGTGGCGCAAAAAAGAACCTGCATCTCTGGTGCTGGTGCTCCTCGTAATACAAATCTCCATGCTCAACCCGGCACTTTTGGGTACACAAAAACCATAACCCCTAACGTATGATATGTCATCCGTCGTCGCCCATGACAGTTTGGTATCAACTTTTGTTCCAACCCTTCCTGCGCCCGTCCACGCACCGTTGAGACCTGCGATAGGACCTCTTCCTTCCCCAATTTCAACTCTTGCTGCCCTCCCCATCAACCCTCAGATGTGAAACCGCGCTCAACCTACTGCCACAGGATCCAGCGCAGTGTCCATGACGCAGAATGCCCCAAGTTACATGTCCCGTCGCCTCCGCGGTGCTCTCGTACGCCTGCTCCTCCGTAATCCTTCCTCAACTCGTATCCTTAACCATACTTCCCCAGACGCCGTCAAACCTATATCCTGCAATCACGCGAGGTGCGAAATGGCCTGGATTGCTATATTTGACCTGGACGTACTCACGTTATATTGCAGCTCCTGCCTTGTACCGAGTGGACTGCTTCGCATGTCGTGGTAGCCTTCTTGGTACATACGATTTGTTTTTCCGCGTTCAGCCAGCTCATCTTGCTTTCCATAGACAAGCGGCCTTGAAAAGAAACGTTATTAATGAGGGGCCACATAGGGAACCTTTCCTGCCTCAAACTCCATGCACGAGCAAGTAACAATATCTCACGAAAAAAGATGCATCCCTTTAACTTTTTGATGAAAATGCAATGTATGCCGGCGACTTCGTCAACCACCATTCGTTTCGTAGCGCGTAGTCTTGCCCGGTCAGGGGTAGGCAGCTTCCGGATTCCTCTGAGGTTCCACAAACGGGACCCATTTGCGTCCAAGGGATGGTCCGTCAGCATTACCGTAGGGAAGAATCTCCTCCTGCCAGCCAAGAGGACTCCAAGGGCCCATGTCCTGAGGAGTGGGGCTGCACAGGGCAGAACGAAGTGAAAGGGAGCTTTGAAGACGTCCCCTTAGGACAGCCTCAAGAGTACGATGTCGTCGTGCTTCTCGCTCTTCCACGGCACTCCGGATGATGCGATAGCGTGACTCTGCGTTTGCCCATCCGTTTACATTCCCAGAACCTGCCGATTCTAGAATCATCTTAAGTTGAAAGAACGGAAGGTTGATCAGGGCTCGGGACAACACCACGTGTGGCACGGGTTGAGCCTGCTGCGCCGCCTTTGGAGTCACAGAGTCCGGCCCGCCAGCTTCCTCCGCCAAAGATAGGTCACCAAACTGTATTCCTGTGAGCTGCTGAGAGCGGCGACCCATTCCAAGATACACCGAAGATCCTTTCGCAACAACAGGACCACGCTTCTTACTGGCCGGCGACGGCGGAGGGCATTCCGGTAGGCGGGCATACTGTTCCGGGTGTCCTGCCGCAGTGTCGAGACTGAATGTGGGGGGTAGATTATGAACGATGAAAGTGACCACCGCATTAAGGAGAACCTTGGACCCCTCCCCATACCTGTAAGACATGTGGGAGCCGTTGTCAGAAGACCCGTCAAGAGCAAACTCGATAACTTTCTCCAGGGTCTGCCAGCTCAACAATTGAGTTGCCACCTCACAACCTCTGCGAACAACAGGCATCCAGCTTAACAAGTGGCCAGCCGCAGCGTAAGACAAGGCAAAGTCAAGCTGTTCGTTGGAGGTGCCGGCATCGGTGACGTCGGCCGATTCTACGCGGTTTCGAGGCGGAATAGGGAGAAGGGGGTGTCCATAGAGTCTCTGAACAGCCATGTAGAAGGAGTCGGATCGAATCCACCTGCTCCTGGTCTCCAGCAGCAGGATTTGCATACCCCGGTCAGACACCTGATGCATTTGGTTCTTAACCTGCTCAGCAAGGGGCCCGCTGCGAGCAAAGATCAATCGGTGTCCTGGAATACGAACAGGAGCAGCTCTGTCGTCAACGTATCTGAGTTCGAGAGTGCAATCAGCCAGCTCAGCATTGCCAAAGTGTTGTTGAATGAAGAAGAGGAATCCATCACTGCCGTCATCGAGGGCAGCACCCTGGTGCGGAAGGCCGGCTCTTGGCATCATTCCCGAATACTCTGGGTGGCCGAACATTCTCCCTTGGTGGTTATGGACATGTCCATCAGATTCCCCAGGCCCAGTAGCACCGTTGCGATGTCCATTGGGTGGGTATTGGTGATACATGCCGCTGTCATCGGGGTGGCCGGAAGACTGGGAGCCGTGGAAGCTGTGGGGTGTCGAAGGCCCAAAATTGTTGCCATATGGTGAGAAGGCCTCCATAGGACCGTACGCCATCCCTGGTCGCCCGTAGTTGTCGAAGCTTCCGGGCTGCATCATCTCTGCGCCGTACGGCGGCATCATCGGTGGGAAGCCGCTCCCTGCCGGTGCCATGTATGCGGGACGAGCATCAGCCGTCGTCATGCCCGGTGGAGGGACCATACCTCCAGTATGAGGAGGCGCTGGAGACGGGCTTTGCGACCCATGGAATGCGCCAAAGTGAATGCTACTATTGCTGGGGTGCGAATGGTGCATATGAACCGGCCCATTGGGTAGAGGAACAGGCGGGCCACGTGAGATGTCATTATTGTTCACAACCGCATATGGTCGACCGGCGGGCTGAAATGGAGGGGGCATCTGATAACGAGAAGGCGAGATACCTGGTGGCGGCTGACCTTTGGCGGCTTTGACAGCATGATGTTGGGCTGAAGGGTGTGGGTTAGCAAATAAATGATGCCCTTGGCGGAATACATGCTCTTGTGTTGACCAACCTGGCTTCTGCCTTGGCTCATTCTTGGACGCAACATTGGAGTCGGTGGCTGACTCTGATGCCGGCTCAGGTGAAGTCGACTCGGTCTGGGAGTCACCGGCGGCTGTCTGTCCACCGACGGGGGCCCCATTTGGCTTCTTATCCAAGTCGATCTCGTCAGTCGTCGTCGTTGTCGCCTTGTTCCCAGCCCCGGTCTCGGATTCGACAGTCTCGGCAACTGAAAAGCAGACTCGGCATCAGCAAAATGCAGTTCACACAAACATCAAACAGACAATGCTGTCCAACCTGAAGATTCACTTACCAGCCCTGAAGTGTCCGTTTGTGCTGGGGCCTCCGTTGGCTGAACCCTCAAATCCTGGCAGTGACTCAGCCTTTCGCTGAGAATCGAGAGCTGCGGGATCGGTGACATTCCCAGTAACAGTTTCCGGCACTACACCATTGGCTACCTGCTTAGACTGAGACGCCTCCGAATGAGCATCATTAGCCTTGGTACCTGGAGCCGTGGCCGCATCGTCCTTTTCGTCCTTTGTTGCAACGGTGACCGGCGCCGGTCTCCGCTTCAGAGGCAACGCAGGCACCACAGGCTTCGGCTTGGTCTTGGGGGTGACAGCCTTGCGGCTCTTGGCAGAGCCATTTGGCGGCGCCATGGGTGCAACCGAGTCGTGTTGATGATGGAAAGAATGAGTCGAAGACGATTATGTGATTTTCTCGTGGGACGTGGGTCGAAAAGTCGGGCATCCGACGCTCGGGGGGAAGGCGGCGAGGCGGGCAAAATCTGGTCTGGGCTTGTGTTTACACAGCCAGCGCCAGGCCGCAGGAACAAGGAGAGAAGAGAAGAAATTTGCTCAATGCTCTAGACGCCTCAACCAGTACGCGTAGGTTCCGTCATGAGAGGATGCACCGAGTCGCATGCACCTCTCACCAGACGTCCCAGGGCGTGGTGTTGAGGGGAAGAGAGGATCGTGGTCTGGTGGGCGCCAGCGGAGGATTGGGGGAGAAAAAAAGAATGGAGCAGGTCGTGGTCGCTGGCCACTGGCAGCTAGGCCGCTGGCTACTGTGTGCTCCGTCCTCGAACACTTGAAACTTTGCTCCGGGACCCTGCGGCCGTTCTCACTGGTCCAGATTCCGTCCCGTCGGCCTGTTGACTATTGAACCTGGCTTGGTCGTAGAAGAATGCTGTATAGAAACAAAAAAAAAATTTACACCACTCGGGGCCAAACAAACCTCTCGATTTCGTGTACGCATTTCGATTAGGCGCTCATTCATAGTCGTGAAAATAACTACTGTCTGCTGTGTTATGCCTGTTCATTACGGCGCTTATAGCCGATCCCCGCAAATTGGAGACCACAAACCGGTTGACAGCGCCAGACTGCAACGCCAAACCACGACATTGAACGCGCCACACGTCTGGAAGCCAATCTGTGGCTCGAGCCAGTCCAGCCACGCCACACCCTAGGCTGTCCACAGAACAATCCGCCAACAGGCGCTCCTCGATCCAGCGTCCACGAAATGTCAAATACAATTATTTTGCATCGCGACAAATATGCTCGTCAGGTACAACATGACACGGTGATTTCGCCGTTTCAACTGCATCAGTTTATCCGTGCAGCCACGCAGAATCTTTACTGTACATGTCCATGCACAATAGGCATAAATCATTGCCCCTCGCTATATCCTGGGCTTTCTGTATCCCAAACAGCCTCCTGGTCATGTAAAATCATAATTCATGAACTCGCTAGCACAAGAGCCGTTCCCAAAAATTATATATACACCACACAATGCCAAAAGCTGAGTCGCAGGGATGGAAGAGAGGAAGAGACACAGAGGAAGGGAGGGGGGAAGAACGACTATACATCATCTTCATCTCTCCTCAACGATCCTGGTTTTTGCGCATACCAAAAGTAGTAGTTGAAATACCGATGAACCGACGTGTCTTCCAAGCCTTTCCTCGCCAAGGCCACGCGAATTTCTGCATCTGCCTCTGATATTTGCAGAGCCTGGAACGGCCGGCCTGCTAGCGTTGGGATAAAGTCAAGTATCGCCATTTTCTGATAGAGCCCTATTGCCCTCATGATTTTCCCCTTTGCCCATGTTCCGATGGGAACCTTCATTATTCTACAATGCACGTTTTCAAATCCAGCTTCGCGAAGGTACGGTTCAAGCTCTGCGGGTAGTGTTGTGCTCAAGCCGAATTTCTTATATGCGGCACCAGCGGTATCGTAGAGGGATTTTACGGGATCCTCGTCTGACATTGTCCCGTCGTCGCAGAGTGGTACGCCCTGTAGCTCTTGTAGCTCAACCCACCCACCGGGGCGGAGACTCCTAGAGTGACTGTCAATAACAAACCCATGACCAGCCGCAGGCAAAGTTGAACGGCACCAAATCACATACTCGTAGGCATGGCCGAGGACCGTAGGAATGTCCTTCAGTATCATGACCATAAATCGGAAATGAGCTAGGTCGACATCTCTCTCTATCCAGTCCAGGGTGCAGTCGTCGACTAGAAAGGAAACATTGGCCGGAACCCATTCAGGTTGAATCGGCGTGAGGTCGATGCCACAGACATGCGCGCTCGGATACCTATCACCGACTAAGTGCGAAAACTGTTAGCTAGGTAAACCTATTTGATATGATGGACCACTGTTATGAACCTTCTATAGCCCAAATCCCTATCGTCATGAGGCGTCAGTGAATGTTCTGAGCAAATGCTCTGCTTGGATGCGGAAAGGAAGCTAACCAGTTCCTGTGCCTATGTCTAGTATCTTTTGTGGGTGGGTGCCTATCGGTGAGAAAAAAGGCTTCCCCTCGGTGAGCATCATTAACATGGCATGCTTCATATCCTCCCTATTCTGCTCCAAGTCATCGTTGGGAATAGGATACTGGCCATCTCCGAATGTCTGGTACCGTCGCCCACGCTCGTACGCAAAGGAGGTGTAGATACTCGAGGCTAGACTTGCAGTCGTGTCGTCTCCCTGTAAACCACTGTCTAGATCGAATTCGTCATCTGACTCGGTGCCGGGTTCAATCACCGGCGTTTGTGTGGCCCGAGTTCCGGCAGAGGGCCCTGGTGGTGGTGGTGATGATGATGATGATGCTTCTGCTGCTTCTGCTGGTGATGGTGCTTCCGTACGATCGATGGGCGCTTCAACTTTGGCGTCGTCATCATCCAGAGGTTTAGAGTCGGCAAAGTCAACGAGCCCAACGCTCTTAGTCCGCTCGCGAGATCTTGAGAAGACCATCGCGGTGGCCGGCAGACAAGCGTGCTCGGCACGGGGAAAATACAGATGATGGTCTAATGGCGATGGTGACTGGCGATGGCCAGGGGAGTTCTTAAGATGGTGCGTCGATGAACTTTTGCCGGTGGCTCAATGCCTGTTTCTCGCTGAAAAAGGTGCGACATAGACTGCTTGGCGGGCCAGCGGAAAGCGGCTTGGGCGGGTAAGTATGAGAAGCAGCTGAAGAGATGGATTCTGCCCTGGTCAAATTTGTCTCAAAACGACCATAAGGCAGAGGTGGCGCGTATAGTCACGATTCTGGCTTACGCCGAACTGGCAGCCCATGTATAACCGTATCAGGGCCGCTAGGCCGCCACCACCGGAGGGTGTTAGGCGAGCACTTTCAACTGAGACCTCTAGGGGGGGCGGATTGCGGCCGGGGAGCAAGACAAAGGTGACCTGTCATTGCTCCGACTGAGGAGCCATCATCTAAGCCAAAGCGGGGGCATGGTGTTGGCCTCGTGTCACACTGGCTGCCCTTATCAACCGGACGGTCACCTGTTACACACGATCGATTGTATTGTGGCTAATATTGTATTAAGGTTCACATTGACATCTCAACAATGGCAACTGTCCCCATCCGGGGGACAAGCCTCAAGACCAGAATCACCCCACTTGGATCAGTCAATCCTTCGATGCTTCCGCGTTTCCAGATCCACAGTTGCCCCAGTCCCCAGTCCACACTCAGCCCGCAATGCAAGCCGTGCCGTGTCAAAACTGGACGTGATTTTCTTTTTTTAAAAAAAAAAGTCATTCGGAGTAATTTTTAAATAAGCAATGTCCGCGCCGCTCACATGCGCTTTCGGAATTCGGAAATCATGACTCGCTCTTGGCATGTCCTCGCGTTGCCATGAGCATCTCCTTGACCGTATCTAGGTCGAAGGATTTCCTGGCCTCGGCCAAGGATTCCTGAACCGCTCGTGCGCCTCTCCGAATCATTTCATTGTCGTAGTTGGTCAGTACCTCTTCTCTGTGCGCACTGCTGCTGCCCAACGCGTTCAGCCCAGTCAGGGCCTTGACATAGTTGTCGACATCTGTGATGGAGTGCTGAAACCCTTGGCCGCGATCTAAAGAAATGTACAGTCAGTTCATCCCGTCTGCTACAGAGCCGCTTTCTGGAGGAGTTGTGAAACAGACATATTAGCATTGGATGGGCTGCGTCGCCAGCAAGCGTCACTCGGCCTCCATGATTGTCCCAGGGCACGGGGCTCCAGTATTTCATCTCATCGATGAACACATTGCTGTTTTCTGGCGTCCAGTCAATGGCGGATTGGAACACGTCACGCAGTGGTGTCGTGTTCTCTCTGATGTACGTGAGAGCCTCGTTGCCCCTGAGATGCACTGCCTCGCCGTTCCATATCTTGGTCCAGAACGTCGTCCAACTGGACTCATCTGCTGGATTGTCGACTGACATGACTGCAGGAAGGATAACGCGATTTGTTAGCCATATGATGGCAAACCCACTTCTCCGGCTTGAGTGGACGAGTGTACGTACCGCCAACAGCCCCGACTGAGGTTGTTCCCATCATCAATGCGGCTACGGGATGAGCGCGCACAATGGCATCAGTCTTCTCAGCGTCTCCAAACTTTGTGATGCCAGTGGCAAACTGGAACCCGGAACCGTGAGGCCGGGAGGCGTCGGGACCCAACAAAAACTCGCGTACTTTGGAAGATGAGCCATCGGTTCCCAGCACATAGTCAGCATCAAAGACACTGCCATCTCCCAATTTGACGTGCACCCCGGTGTCTGACAGAGAAAGGTCTTTCAAGGGGGCATTCCATCTAATATCGACGCTCCGTGCAAGCAACCGGCGCAAGGCCTGCCGGCTGACTCGCCTGGCATTAGGCAGAGGGCTGCGGAAGAGCAAGTCGCCGGTGACTCCGTTGTAACACGGGATACTCTCTACTTCACTGTTGAAGTCTAAATACGGGTTGCAAACGGCGCTTTTCAAATCGGCAAGAATGTCCTTTGGCACCAACTTCTCGAAGATGGGCATGGCCCAATGGACCAAGATGGTCCAGTCCCGACGCCTTGCATCGATGCTGACCTCTTGCTCGAAGACGACGGCACGGAAGCCATTCTGTGCGACTCGGGTAAGCAAAAGCTGGGATGGAAATGACCAGAACGACACGCTGCGTCTTACCTGCTGCAGCCCTTGTGCGGCGAGCAGACCCGTCAGCCCCGCTCCAATGATGGCGACAGTCTTCTTGGCCGAGGTAGAAACCGTCATGTCTATGGGCAAGTAAGAAGGTGTTTTGCCGGTCAAGAAGTCAAGGAGGATAAAGACCAACAACGTCCCATATAACCAACAACCTGTCTGGAGGTCCAAGCGTGGTTTGTATTGTATAAGCAAAGAGTCCAGAGAGAGCCTTTTGGCAAGGTCCGTTCGCCAACAGAGGCGGGGTCTGGGAAGTAATTATCTAGCCCTTGGCTTGACCATGGTCGACGGAGCAATACCTATGGAGCGAATTCGCGGAACGGCCTGGTCCAGGGCAAGGCACCGTGTGGATGGGGACATTTGGAAAGCTACACTTTCAGATGCCATGTTGCTGCGTACTAGTATTTCCATCATCAGCTCATAGCGCCACCGCGTGTGTCGGCAAGCCCAGTCGGTGGGGTTCAGAGAACAGAAGAAGAAACCCCATGCGAATGCAACTTGATTCAGTAGCGGCTCTAGCAGAAGAGTTTGGCAGGGATTACTGAGTAGTGAGTACCAGGTAGTCAAGCGTCAAGTGTATTACATTATACATACCTACCTAGGTAGGTATGTAGTGTGCTGGCGTTGATGACGCCCGATTGCTGGCACCTGCCAGGTGAGCACAAGCATGTATTACCCGCGTAATCAATCAATTGGTACTTTACGTGTGTCTTGTCGTCGGCAAAGGTGGACCGGCGTCGGGATAGCGCCTTCCTCGAACGAGGAAGTTTTGGCCTGCCTCCTCCTGGTCAAGGACTTTTGCCGCTTATTGCTGTCTCGGATTAGGCCCCATACAACCCGACGGACTGGTGCGGCCTGGTTCAACCGTCAGAATCATCTGCAAGCCAAGTGTGACAGCATAAGCCGCGATGGCGGCACTGCAACTTGACAACAAGGCAGACAACATTGAAGGCAAACCGCGGGTCCGGTACGCGGTGTTGCAGGTCCTCCCGCTGCCACTGTCGAAACATGTTGCGCCTACTCCGCATATGACGGCAAGACCACGCCCGCTCGATGCCGCTAGCTCGCCCCCCAAGTCATGTAAAGAGGATTCAATTGTTTCACCCAAGTCAGCGGGCGAGCAGCTAGCAGGTTCGTAAACAAAGCGCATTGTACGGAGTTGGGTAACTGGCAAACGTCCTCAATGTTGCAGCCGGAAGGCAAACCCAAAGCATGTATGTACCAACCAGGCTGGGTAAAGTGCCCCCGCCTCCGTCCCTCCTTCCCTCCTTCCCTCCACTGTGCAGCTCCTACTGCTAGTGCTAGCGTCGAATGTTACCCGCACCATCATGCTACTGGATACCGACCGCTACAGGGCCCACTGGCGCAGGGGTTCCAACCACGCCCGCGGTTCAAAGTTGCACTCAACTTTACACCAACGTCTGGTTTGGATTGACTGCTCATCAGCATTCAATCGTCGGCGGTCTGGCCGCGGATAGTACTCCGTGCTTGCGCCGGATTAAATAGGTGCACAGCCCGCCGTACGACTATGAACCAAAGTGACACCATACGGGCTCATGCTCCGCACAATATAGCCGGCGGCATCATAGCATCACGTCCGTATAGCAAGCAGGGTTGGATATAATAAAAGGCCATTGACCCAGAGCCGCGGCTTAACAAACTAGATGCTTGGTACATGTTCGTTCGTCCTAGGATTCTTGCAACGTGGTTGTAACGGGTTAGCCTAGCCCGCATGTCCGACGTGCGTGACAGTCGTATATGCAGCTCTACCCGGCGTATCCGGGATAACTCTGTCAAAAGTAAGTCCTTGCTCTGTTGTAACTAAGTAGGTACGTGGGATACGTGAGAGTTGCGCATCTAGGCAGCTGATCTGCGGTATTTGATAGATGTGGTGGCAGCCATTGTTCTTCTCGCGTCGCCAGTTTACATACGTCTAGCAGATGAGCTGGGGAGGCCACCGCAGCATTGGCCGTTCTTAGTTACAACGACCTTACAGCCATTAAATCTTTCCTTTATTCGCCGTCGTCATTTCAAAATGCAGTCCGTGGATAGTACCATTCATTCGGCTCTTTCCATCTACAATAACCGAGTGTGCTTACCACACCAGCTTATTTAGGTTCGGCGGCCAAAAAAAGAAAATAAAGTCGGAACGGAAGACGGTGATTATTGTCGACCATGTATCAATGGTAGATGGCGTTTTTGGGATATTAGAGCCGTTGACTTGGGTAAAAGCATACGTCTGCGGCTGATTGTGGCACGCCACACGCCTCGAATTTTGTTTCTTCCACATGGTGAAACGCAGTATGCATAAAAGTCTACATTTTGAAGATAGAATTAGACGCCTGGCCTCTATCGGTCTTCAGGTAGCAATCCGCATGAGTAAGTGGCGAGGCGCAGAGCAATGTAAGACCCCGAGACTCGGAGGCAGCCCACTAGAGAGTAAGTTCACTGATGAACGAATATTTATGGAATACACATACTATTTCTTCAATTAAACAACTCGACCCATACCGATCAGTACTTAGTGGTCCAAAACATGTGAGATTTATGTCAAGAGTAGCCAAGATTTGGCTGAATATGTCAAGACCAAGTCGCCCATTCGAGGCAATGGAAATTATTATATCGCCGCCTGCAGGTAGCTATCCTGATCACGGAAGGTTATCCTGCCAGCACCGTAACATCCAGGCCGTCGTCCAAGTTCATGTACGCCCAGCCGCTTGTATGCATAGTCTACAGTTACAACTCAGAGGGGCGATGGGGAGATTCAACGAATAATAAAGTAAATAATGCCAGGGCGATATGACA